CTCATATCTACTACAAAACAAAGGAGGCAAGGGCAGGACAAACTTCATTCCTAGTCACTATGGCTACTTAATCCACATTATATTTTGTGATTTTCTGACTTGACCTTTGCATGTCAGAAAGGAGAAGTGAATCTGCTGGAATTTGTTGAATCAAAAAAGACAATTCTCTGCATAGCTGAAAGAGATGGAAAATGATTTGCAATCCCTTTGGAGCAGGGCTTTGGCAGTATGGGGAGTAATTAAAGGTAGCTGATGACTTCTTGGGAGATATCTTTCCCAGTACTCTCAGAGTCGAAGCCAGGGGAGGCTTCCTGCTTTCACAGGACAGCTGGAACAGAGACTTGGCTCTAGCACTGGAGTGAACAAGGATGAGCCCTCTGCTTGCTTACGAAAATGCAAGCTTTAGTAACATACAGAGGCTGGGAATATCCTAATCTGCTTTAGCAAACTTTTCTTCACATTGTCTGTATCACCATATCCCAACCAGTAATGTGACAACAGAGCACTTAAAAACCTACTAATCTATGTGCCTTTGTCCACAAACCAAACCTGTGCATGTTGGGCCACTAATTAAAAAAGAAATCTCTGAAGGGCATGTATGGCAGAGGTGAGGATCCCCTGGGCTGCTCTCCCAGGCAGGAGCCCTGTTCTCTCTAGGAGCGGTGTCAAAGGAGCCTGGAGGAGCCGCAGAGCGGTGTGAGCAGAGCCCAGCTCCCAGGCCACTGTCATGGCCTCCGGGCCCGGTAGTGTGGTGCTGTGGCTTTCACACCACTGCCACCTCACCCTCAGCTCTCCTCTCTGTGGAGGTGACCTGGGGGCCGTGGCAGCAGCAGCGGCAGCGCAGGCTTTGCCTGTGGCTTTGGAGAAGGAGGTTCAGCCTCCTTGAGCAGCCTCTGCCCTGGGCTGCCATCTTGTGGCTCACCCCAGGGGGGCACCCGCCCTGGCTGCACTGCCCTCCCTGCAGCCCCAGCTGCTGAGCCTTCCCATCAGGGAAAGGGCTCACAGGGCCCACATATACACAGGGACACATCCTGGCCAGCCACTTTGAGCTCCCGGAATTGCTGGCCATGAGCATCCATCCAGAGCCGTCCCCTCGCTGTGCAGGATGGTATGGGAGGTACGTGTGGGGCCTGTGGGGCGGCTCATCCTGGGGGGCCCCTCCTCCCCTTTTACTGCACAGTAGCAATGGTGCTTCAGTGCTGGTAGCCACAGCATTAATGCCAGGGTGCTGTTTTGGGGCAGTTTGTGTATTGCTGGCCTTCCTGTAGTTTAACCCCTTTCCTGTGTTCTTCCTGGTGAAGCCCGACCCCGACCCAGAGGCTCATTGCCCAGCAGGCACGACCTGTGGCAGCGCTGGGGCCCATCAGCGATAGTAACGTGGCGTCATCATCCTCACGCTGTAGGGACGTGCTTGTCAACTACAATAGGAGTAGAATGAAATATCACTGTGAATAAAACATGGTGAAACTCATCCACCCCAGGAAAGCTGTGTCTCCTCAAGGCAGGCTTCCCTCAGCACCCCTCTCTTCCCCCTCAGGCAGCCTGTGTTTGCAACAGGCCCAAAATGCCAGGATATCAGCTGCTTGCCCAGCTTTTTTTGTGAGGAATTTGGGGAGGAAAGGTTCCCACTATGGTCCCAGCCCTGCCCCAGGTGAAGTGCTTTGTCTTGGCTGTGCTCCAGAAGGCTGAGGCCTGCACCCAGGTGTGAGCAATTGGGGCTATTGGTGGTCCTTCCCCTCCCAGCAGGGCAGGTAGGCAGTGGAGGGGGAGTCCTACCACTGTTCCAAAGAAGCTGCAGTAAATGGTAACTCTCTTCATTGAGAATAATCACCATCTTTTAACAGGGGCTTACTTTTCTAACAGGAATGCATTAATGTAGAAGTCTCTGGGAGCACACGGAAAATGCATCTTGAGCTGTAAGTTTTGAATCCCTTCTGTGTGTTGCCATTTGCATCTCCTGAGCTTCAGAGAAGAATGAGAGGTGAGGAAGATCTCAAGCCTATGCCTGTGATCTTGCCCCTTGAATTTTTGACCACTGACAAATATTAAATGAGGTAGGCAGAGTCTCCCAGACCAGCCTCAGTTGTTTGTTGACACTTTGTAGAAAGTGAAGAAGTTATTATTAAAAACAAAATACCTTCTTGAATACCTAAATCCCCCCCCCCCCCTCTTTTTTTTTTCTTTCTTTTTTTTTTTTTCTTTCTGTTGAAAGTCTCTTTCTTTTTGGTGTGGAACATAGCATACATTCTTAGCTTTGAAAATGTAGTTTATACGATGCCAAAACATTCTGGTTTCTTGCTGACTTTCAATAATATGTTTTTCCTCAGAGTTAAATACTCCTGTAAATAAGCAAACACCAAAGTATAAAATTTTGGTTTTATGTTTCGCTAGCATTAACCTCTTGTACTTCCCTGCAAATGCTGATTGACAGTTGTGTCTATCACTGCTACTTTGGGTTAATTTGTTTTCTGCTTCTACCCTCCATTTTAAACATATTGTCTGTGCCTTACATGGAATAACCAAAGCAAATTATTTGATGTTCACGTAAGTATGCCCATTCTTGTGAGTCTCTTTCTCCATATAGACCAGAAATCCTGGTTAGAATCCATGCTTAGTTAGGATACTACATTCAGAGGGGCTATCTAGAAAATGCTTTGGTTCTTTTTCTTACAGTTCTTTTACTTTTAGGATTACAGGTATAGATTGGAAAAAAACCAAAACAACAACAAACAAACCAAATAATTGTTATTGTAATATATTTCTACTCAGTTAATATCTATGGCTCTACATTTATCTGTTTTTTGTTTGGTTTTTTTGAGGACTTGCTCATCAGGATGTGCTGTATGAGATCTCCTAGGAAATTGTGCAGATACATGGTTTAAACCATTGAAAGTTTCTAATAAAAAAATGAAGTTCAGTCTGTAGCTTGACTGTCTTATAACACCAGATTTGTTGATAGCCTGGTTTTGAAGCATAATTTGCAGTGTAATTACTACTGGCAAATTATCATTAGTTGTAATGGGAGTGTATTGAGTTTGTAATGCAAGTTTAGGGAGAAGAAAGAAAAGGGAATATTTCAGAACACTGCACTAATTCTATGTTTCCATTACACATTCAGTCCACAGTATTTTTACATTACTTCTGCACTATGTTAATGTCTGGCAGCAGAGTATAGTGGCAGAGGAGCTTTTAAAAGGAGTTGGAAGCTACAAGTACTCCAGTTGTAATCAGTAGTTAAATCCTTGTCAGTTCTAGTCTGAAAATACCAATCAAAGTAGTATTCTACTACTATGCTTCCCACAAACTGTGCCTTAAGTAATTCTTACTGTGTATCTTCAGATGGACTGAAATGACCTGAGCTTTTAAAAGCCTTTTGCAAGTATATAATAATGCTGTAAAAGGTAAAATACTGCAACAGATTAGGACGCTAAATAGGATAACAGAAAGCAAAAGGAGGAATGGAGTAAAAAAAGCAAATTTACTTAATATGCTCTTGCAGGATTTGCTACATTAGCTCTTGCTAGCATATGTATGAATGCTGAGTGCTGTAAATGAAAAACATAATGTCATTAAGTAAGTAAAAAATGGAAAAAAAAACCCAAAACACTGAATCTACAAAGTCATCTGATCCCCTTACAGCACTTGAATTCTTGTAGACAGAAGGCTCCTGATGCCTGAGCCTCAGGCCTCTCAAAACAGGACTTAAATCACCAGTAAGTGACCAAGAAGCACGAGATAAAAATTATGAGTTTAAAATAATTTACTGGAATGTATTATTGACAGTGCTGTTCTTTCCAAACTGAATTAACAGCAAGTATTTAATAATGACCACAGCCCAGATTTGTAAAGGTATTCAGTGTCCCTTGGGGGGGGGGGAAGAGATGGGGAAGGGGTGGGGGCGGCTGCATAGTTTTTAAAGTGTGAATTATTTTCTTCTTCTTTAATATGTATTAAGGCACAGGAAAACAAGTGAAACCTCTGGTAGGAAGAGAATTATACCAAAACGAAGAGTTACATAAACCAATAGGATGCATTTCCCTGCAATTATGTATTGTTTTAAGAAATCTCTGATGAAGGGAAAATTGCTAATGAAGAAACTCAGAGGTGTGAGGAATATCAAAAGTCTTTCACAGAAACTGAAAGTAATAAACCAGGCAGTTTAGTGATGATAAATCATGAACAGAAATCTAATTACTTTTTCGTTAGTGTTGAACCAAGGCATTGAACTGATGTAGTGATCCAACTTGGCAATTTGGCAGCCTTATGCCCCTTTTTCTATTCCAGGTATTTTAAATCTAAATTGTAGAAGTGGAAGAGAGTATGTACCTGGGAGTTCAGGAAATTTATTTGTGAAATATGGATGCTTATACATCTAAACCAAGTGGGAACAGAAGCAGCAACTGTATTAAAACTGTTGCACAAACTTCTGGAATAGTTAGCAAATAGCAGTATTTAAATCAATTATTGAAGATATAGCGTGAAATAGAGGAAACTTTATCTTTTTTCCTTAGTAGCATTTGAATAGTGCTATTTTTTCTTGTTTGTTTTGTTTTGTGCCAGATGTTCTTATCAGAGAAAACAATGGTGGTATGTTTTAATATTGATGAGTTGATTCTCCTGGGAATAATAGTTTATCCACCTTCTCAGAATACAAATGGTGGGAAGTTTTTTATAGTGTAATTATCATAATGCATTGAATTTAAATGAAACTCTTTATAACTGTGGAAAGAATTTGTTGTTTATTATCTTTCATCTATTGACTTTCTGTGTGACTCTCCTTTTAAAACCGTGTAACTTGTTTTGGTGACCTTTAAAAAAGTAAACATGTAAATCACCAGAGGTACAGTGTAATCTGTCAAAGTAGCATATGCTTAAGCACCTTATAAACAATAATATTTATATTTCCAAGATTATTAGTTTATTCATTTAAACAATTCCAGAGCAACTGCAGAGTAATTAAGTGACTTGCTTTAACTTTTTTTTTTTTTCCCCTTCAGGGAAGTCCAGAAGTTATAAATGATCTGGTGACGAGCTGAGCTTGCAATGCAGGCAATAAAAACCGTGGAAAAAGAAGTTACTTTTATAAAAGAAACACTTTTCACAGAATCCTTCCTACAGAAACAGGATTGCAGCAAAAGCCCGGAGAGCAAGCAGCTCTGTGAGCAGCAGCCATTGGAAGGAGCTGTCTGCAGCTCTCAGTGCTGTACTGAGCATGTCCCAGCGGAGCCCAGTGCAAGCAGCACATTATGCAAAAAGGCAGTTCTAGCAGATGGGAGAGAGGCACAGCAAGCATTTGCTTCGTTTGCATCACTACCGCTTGAAAACAAACCTGGATCGCTAGAGGGGATCCTGCCGGCAGGCCAAAGGAGTGAAATCCAGGAGCATGGCTTGATTGCTGAAGGTGTTGCACTACGAAAAATCATGGGAAATCAAGATGGGAAGCTAAAGAAAAATACAGGTGATGTGTCTGAAGGAGGAGAGGATGCCTCTGGGCCCAAGGATACAGATGGCACAAAGAAGGTATCGGGAAGCAGAAGGGGTCTGGGGAAGCATGCAAAAGGAAGTGAATCCGGTAAGAAGAAGGGTAAGTCGGACTCGAGGGCCTCGGTGTTTTCAAATCTGAGGATCAGAAAAAATCTGTCCAAGGCTAAAGATGGGAATAGCAGCTCACGGGAGGATGTTTTGGATAGCCAGGCCGTGCAGGCTGGAGAGCTGGACAGTACTCATTCAATTATAACCAAAACTCCAGATATAAGCATCTCTGCAGATGAAGGGGGTCTCTCAGACACAGATGTGGAACATTTTGAAATCAGAAATGAAACTGTCCCAGCTGCTGCAGAGGCACAGGATGGACAAAGGACCAGCTCTGGCTCTGATACAGATATATACAGTTTCCATTCAGCCACAGAACAAGAGGATTTGCTTTCTGATATCCAGCAAGCTATTAGACTGCAGCAGCAGCAGCAGGGAGCAATTAATGTTGGAACTGAGGACCTTGTCACCAAAACAATGGGCCGACACATGGATAATTCGCAAGCAGCCCCCTTAGATTTTGAACGGTTTCTTTCGATAACTACCACTGACAAAGAGAGGAGCCCAGACACTGAGGGGGCTTTTCCAGCATTATCTAAAATTGTGGAAAATGTTCCCATCACCTGTGCAACTGAACGTGAAGTGAAAGAAGAAGTAAATGGCACAAGCTCTCCTGGTAACGGCTTATTTGAAACACAAGAACGTAAGCGATTGATTGAGGAGCAGCTCGTTGCTGGAGTGGATGCTGTAGCTAGTGAACTGAAAGATGATTTGAATAGAACTGCCGTAGGAAATGGTTCTCAGACATCCAGCTCCACACGACCTTTTCCGACCTCTGTAGCAGATGCTGAGACTAAAATTACTGGAGTGCAGGCTGTTGATTTGCAGCACTCTGTAACAGAGGATGGTATTTCAGATGCAGGCTGTGATCATGCTCATGAGAATCAGGAAGAGAAAAGCACTCTGTCGGCCAGTCAAGAGGACCTGCGTAATGATTTATCCACAGAAATGAAAAATGTCACTTTGTCCTCTGAGGGGACAGCAGGCAGTCAGATTCTTGGTTCCCGATGCTTTAAGCCCTATCTAATTAATCCATGTTACATTAAAACCACTACCAGGCAACTGAGTTCTCCCAACCATTCACCATCTCCCTCCCCATCCCAGAGCCCTCTTTTTACAAGGAGGCAGGAGTCTTTCCACACAAAAGAAAAGGTCTCGGTCAAGAAGCAGAGGTCTGCTAGTTTGACAGGTGTATTTAGTCGTTCTGCAGACTGGACAGAAGAGTTTTCTAATCACAGATGTGAAACAACACAGAAGGTGGGCTCTGCAGGCTACTTGGAGCACAAGGGGTTTAAAGAGAAATTTCAAACAGAAAGAGTGCCTTTGACACATTCAAGAAAGTCCTCAGGGGTGCAGGCTTCTACGGAGACATTTCCCAATGTCTTTTCAGGTGAGTGACATGTATTAAGGTTGTTTTTTTTCTCCCCGACAGTTTTTGAAAAGATATTTTAAATGCTTCAATTCAGTCCTTTGCATGTATTATTGCCTTTAATGTGCTGACAGTTTTAAAATTGAAGGCCTGATCTTACAAACACAGTCACATTTCACTTACAAGAATAGCCTCTCTATTCAGTGTCAATCTGGCAGTACAGCCAGTAAAGGAAGTACATAACTCTTTGAAGTTTTTCTTTCTGCTTTTCTCCTTTGTCTAAATGCTGTAGGAAAAGACTGGATGCCTTAAATTATTCTGGTTGAAAAATGTTAAGAGCTGTACTGTTGTAGGCAGACCAGCTCTCTGCATAAAAAGATCTTTCAGATGCGAAGCTTTCTGTAACTGGGATCCTGCTTGGGGCTTTCTTGTGCTAGTCACTGTTCTGATGTACTGCAAATATTTGAGAGCTGCACCTGGTATTAGACTGAGGCAGAGATGAGGATTTGCTTAGTGCAAAAAGGAAAAAGCCATGCAAGCACAGATGAACAGCACTACAGAAAGAAACAGATTTCCCTTTCAGAAAGGGAATAGAGGAGAAAAAAATGTTAGTGACTTCAAAAGACATCACAAAATGGAAAAGAGAAGGGAAACTGTGGGTAGTACACTTGGGTAGCTGTGACAGGCTGTTGCTTGGGCTATGTAAAGTGACTTACTCAGGAAAGCATTTTTTTTACCTTGCCCGTTAGGCAGCTTGCATCCTCTCACAAAGGCATAGGAATATAGAGTTTACAAATGAAATAAATTGAATAGCTGGTTATATTTTCCTACCCTTTGTGGGTTGTTTGTTTTTTTTTTGCCTTTCTGTTCCACTATCTGAAGTTTCTGTATAAAGCTAGTGTCTTCACAAATCATGAAGGCCTCTGCCACATAGGAGGCATGCATACAGAGGAAATTCAGCAATATATTACATTTGTTTACATTTTATTTACATATTATTAAGAAAACTAGAAATAAGAGAATGCAGATAATATGTCCTATGAGCACCAGTTACAAGATTAAAACAGTTGAATCAGGTTTGTTTTGAATTGAGGTATATTCCAGATACATGAGCACAGTAATCACATGTACTGGAGCTATCTGCAAAAACTGCAGTCAGAATTTTCTTGTGCTTTTGTGAAAAACTAAACAAAATAGTATGGTTTATGAGGGCGGCAATGACATGATTTAGAAATAACATATAAGAAAACAGTTAATCCATCAGCAACTGTTTTGCATAAAAAGACTATATTGTTTTACGATGCAGATTTAAAAAATTATATAACGTGTAATTGCTTCCATTCATAGTTGACTTCTTTGTGCACATTCCACTCTGCTTGACATTACAATACTGGTGAATGAACCTGTCTGCATAAAGAAACTAAAATTAGTGGCTTTTTTTTTGTATAGCAGCCAACTGCAGGAGTTTGAAATACATTGCATTGACATTGTTTCCTAAATTCAAATGAGAAGTATGCTTTCATTTTTCAGAAATTCCCAATTTCAGTCTTGAAAATTAAAGTTAAATTTTTTAACACAAAAAAGGCCAGCCCCTTCTGAAGTAAGCTGAAGCTTTTTTGTTTTAAATCCCTTCCACCTGTTTTCTTAGATTTAATTTCAGACATGCCTATCTATTAAAGTTTTACAGTCTGAGCTGATTGCTATTTTCAGATTTATAGCACCTAAAAAGCAATTTTTATTTTCTGTCAACATTTGACAGCTTATAAACAACTCAGAGAGCAAAGTTTTAAATTGCATCATCAGTAATTAAACTTTCTTCTTCATGGTGGTGCTATGATGTAAATACATTTTATGTGGCAAATTTCAAGAACATGGAATAACTTTCTAGACACGTTTTTTCCGAGAAGCAGACATTTTATCACAAGGTTTTTATTTATTTACTATTATTCCTTGTTTTATTGTGTTTTCCCACCAAAACTGTAGACTGTTATAGTGGAGGGACCAATGTCCAAAGCAACGGTAGTTCTGTCTCTTATGGAAATTACACTGATCCTCATTTGCATGTGCATACCAGCTGCCTCTCCAAACAGAGGACAATTATACCTTTCAGTTCTTGCAGGAAACTTGAAAGGAGAGAACTGGAAATGATGTAACAACACTATATCTCTTTTGATCATTTTTATTTTTAAAAATATATTTACAAGTTGAAAATTATCAAGAATATAAAAACAACAACTAATGTACATGAAAAAGGGAAATTAGACTGAACTTTAGTATTCCCACAGACTGGTTGTTGTTGCAGTAAGAGCCAAAAAGCCTCTTTATTTAAACCAATTTGCACAGCAACAATTACCGAAATAATTTCCTTGTAATTTGCATACTACCTTTGAAAAATGTTGTATTTTAATTGCATGCATCAGATGCATGAATTTGAGGATTATCATGGGGCTTTCAGAAATAACATTCTTTATAGTAGCTCATTTCTATTTATTTTTTTTTTTAATAAATCAGCTTCTTGCCTAGAGCATTAAATCCCATCTTGTTGTGCAGTGACCGCAGTGTCGTTTTGCATTTCTAACTAGAATCAAGTACAATGTTCCACACTTTAGTAATTTTAATGACAGCAGGTTCTATGCAGATGACTGGCCTACTTTTGCACTGTATTGTGGTTTGGCTATGTGCCATTTGCTTTTCACAGTGGTCCATATGAACTCTTCTAAGGATGTTTTAATATAGAATGTGGATGGAAACCAACAACTGAAATGATGGAGACTTTATCTATTTTAATTTTGCTTTGCAGAAGAAATAAGTGAAGTATGGTATTTCCAATTGATGATTTGGCTAAGAGTGGGGTGTGGAGAAATGTATGGGCATTTTGTTTTTCAGGCATCAGATCTATTTCTTTTTATGATGAGAACAGCTGTATTTCAGATTGCAGTGACAGTAATTATAAGTTCTACATATCCTGATGCACAGTGGAGCAACAGTGTGTATGCTGTGGTCCCAGGAGGGCAAGGCTGAACCTGAATGAATAGGATTGGCACTCACTTCAGTGTGTGGCAATGAATGATTTGCACTAAATATTAAAAGGATATCTTGGTGGGGAAGATGAAACAATGTTTTCAGATGTTACCATAACTGAAATGGAAGAGCTAATAGGTTGATTTAATAAAAAAGGGTTTATCTTAGCATTAATTTGAGATGCAGTGATTGCTAGTAAGGGTGTCTGTTATATAAACTGAATGTAAGAGTCCCATCATCTGCCCCAGATGGTAATTAAACTCGACCCTCTTTCTAATCTCTGCAGGCTGGCTGTAACACACGTGCTGCATGAATCTCTTTCTAACAAATTCTTTATCTTTAAATTTAATCTTCTGAGATTTGTATTAATCCTGCTTTAGCTGTCAACAGGAAACAAACTAAAATCTTCTGGCTTTCATAAAACAAAACCTGAAGTCAGTCCTGTGCTTGTGTGCTCATGGCCACTTTCTGGTTTCCAGAGTGCTGGCCTGCTTCTCACAAAGGCCACTTTATCTCACTGTCCTAATGTCATCTGCATGCACTCACAGTTCCAGAGCAGTGTCTGCAGGCATATACAAAGGTCTTAGTATAGATAAATATGAGAAAACTTGAAAAAAACAGGATGAAGGTTTGTTTCTGAGACATGAAGTAGATTTTTTAAGATACTTTTTCAAGGTTGCTTTTTTCATTCTGGTGCATGTGATGATGCACACAATACGGATTTGTATTTATTGGCATCCTGAGGAGACTACTTATTATGCAACTGTTATTTAAGGCTACTTATGGTTTATTGTTCCACTGATGAAGTTTGTTAGCAGTAATACAAATGCTTCTTTTATCAGATGGCAGGGCAATGCAGCACAGCGTCCTCTAACTGGGGGAGCTGCCCAAGAGCAACCCTTCATGTGACAAGGGGTCACATACCATGCTGAGTGTTGCTAGTAAGCATCTAAAGGGAAAGATCCTTCTCTTTTTGCATAGAAAATCCAAACCTGGCGATGAGGCTGGGAGGGGGGAGGACACGCAAGGAAAGGACTGCAGTACTGCACTACAGCAACAGTAAAATGTGTTTGAAAAGGGGCTGTGATATGTTATTGAAAGACTGGTCAGTGCTGATAAGTTGCTTTAATGCTACTGTGCCTGCACTGTAATATGGGAACTGGAGCAACATGAGTAATGCCACTGGAATGTGATGCTGCCACAGGGTTGTTCTGAAGGGGTCTCATGATTAATGCTTTAATCTTTATCTAGAACTGCATTGGAAGACCAGGTTTTGGTTATGAGGTTGAGTGGTTGCATCTCTCAGGCTACCTCTTCCTGTGCAGCAACTCCTTTCTGAGTTCTAACTAGCGGCTTGGCTCACATCTGGAGTAGGAATGTGTTGCCTTGATTGCCTGATGGCCTCTTTTGGGGTGCAAAGGGGGAAATGAAAAGGAACAGTTTATAGATAGAGGCACATGCAGTTCTGCTTGTATAGGAGACACAGTACCAGTAGAATATCCAGCAGATGTAGGATCTGGTTAGAACTGGTCATCAAAGGACATTGCGTGCTTTAGTGATTTCATTTTTATGAAAGGAGCAATGGATTATTCCAGTGCAAATAGTTGTATGGAATTTAAATTTGAATGTATCTATTTGATCTAATTGTGCTTATTTTAAAAAATATTTAATAATTATTTAATAGCTTGGGGGGAGTGGTTTGTCTGGGGTTTTTGTTTGTTTTGTTTTTAATCAAGCTCAGTATATGGCCAACTGTATTCCTTATAAACCACTCCTGCCAAAATTTGAAATGTCTTAAGAACAGTGGTGGTGAAGCATACGTGCGTAGGTGTTTCTGTGGCTTTGTTTATTTTTAGGTACATTTAAAAGCATAATTCTGTAGTGGCTAGGTGGAATATAACATTTTCTGGAAACTTACTTTATGCAAAATTTATATTTCTGGGAGATGAGTTGAGACAAGGGAAACAGGACAGAAGCAGTGAGAAGCTGTGGAAGGAAGC